GACAGTTATTCCGAGTGGTTTTCTTTACAGTTTTGTGTTTCCAAGTACTATGTGTTCAACTGAATACCTTTTTTTAATGCGATTATGAAGATATTCAGCTCCCCAGTGAGACTGTGTTTTCCAGTATTTTTTTCCCCCTGAAAATACAATGGCACCTGATGATATTGTGTTATCTAATATGATTGTGTTTCCTGAAGATAGTGCTTCTCATGAGGTTGGAGAATGAGATGAGGTTGTGTTTCCATTTAAAAATGTTACTGTAGCCTATTTAATCCTGATCTTCTAAACATCTATACGGCCCTAAATTTTTATATTCTCATGCAGACTTGAGCTAAACTACAGGCCAGAAGTTTGGAAGCAAGGCCAATACAGGTCAAAACCTTGGAAGCAACTTCAGGTTTCTGTTCACAATGCCTTTCTTACAAAACAGTATGAAATCTACGGATTTTGGAATGTATTTACTGCATGATTAGACTTTTCTTTCATTGATGTGCACCATTTTCCTCTATTTACCTTTAGGTACTGTATACATTGATGTTACCAGACCATTGATGAATAAATGTCAACAAAAAAAAGGAGGGGCTTATTTTTTGGGTTGAGAACATTTGCCAGAGTCACAACTTCAGTGAAAAAGTAAAAAACAAATCACAATTTGTATTATTCACTTTATGTCATGGTTTACAGCCCACCAGACAGGTACAAGGACCATGGGCCTAGTAATATGGGCCTTATAATTTGAGTAAAAATGTATTCTGGTAAGTGACTCTTTTTATAATAATCATGTTTATTTTGTTGCAAAGTATGTCAATGAAACTATGATCATTTTTTGTACAAATTTGATCTTGCTTCCAAACTTTTGGCCTGTAGTGTAGGTCTCAGGAAACAGTCTTAAAAATACAAAAGTCAGTAGACATAGCCATGAGCAGTAAGATGTTTTGGAAAATAAATGTCCCCCCCACCCCACCCCCTTTTGGAAACCGAGTGTTTTTACGTTTTTAAAGATAAGTACAAGATTTGGTGTTAAGAAGGAACAAGAAAATGGTATGATGGCCTCTCATCGATGTTATCTGTTTATCGTTTTTATCAGGATGGAACATGTTTAAACTTCAAAGTAGTCTTGAATATAAAAGCCATTGTGTGCAATGTGCACTGAAATGTCAGTGCGAGACGAGGCTTGCGCGCAGAGAGCCAGGATATAATGAGAATAATAAATGTCACAGGGCAGATATCATCGTGGCACTGGGCCCTTTCTACACAAGGGGCAACAGCGTCTACTTGGCCTGGTGCCGACTGGCATTCTGAGTCTCACCAAATGTGGCTCCCTCAGCCTCACCTCATCCTGCCCTTTCAACTTCATTTCCTCTGCAGCACCAGGGCCATTTTATTCCACATATTTAATGCAAAATTGCTGTTTCAGATCGGTCAGAATGCAAGATCATGGAGCAGTTAAAGTTTCAAAAAAAAAAAAAAATATATATATATATATATATATATATATATATATATATATATATGAGGTTCACAGCCGTGTGATTAACAATGTCATTGCCCATATACATGTAAATATACATGTATATGAATTTTGCAACACAGTGATCTAGCAGGGACCAAATTTACTGATAATATTATAATATTGATCTAACCAGTCCACGACTGAGTGCTACCATTACAAGTGGTTCATGCCAGCTACCATGCTAATGCGTACAGTAATGTGTGCACGTAATGGTAAGTTAAAGTTGTTATCTAATGTTAGTCCGAGCTATTGCATTTGAATAAAATGACATGAACTTTAATGCCTTTAATAAGCTGTTTAAGAAACTGAGGAAAATTGCTTAATAATGAAGACAAGAACGCCCATGATCCCATGTCGTATCACAACGTCGTCAAACTCCATCTTTTGTTTCCTTTTATACTGAGAGACCCCTAGTAGCAGAAAATTATATTTTGCATTGGACATCTGCATATCTTAAACTATTCTTCTCATAAAAGAATAAATGCACACAGTGCCTGCCTTCCTGTTTTTATTTTCATTGAAGGTCACCAATCAGGTCGGCCGACCATAGCCAATCTTGTGAGCCATAACTTTATATGTCATCTTGTCACCTGTCCTGGGGCACAGAAAAGGGAAAAAGAAAAATGGATGTTGAAACCGGTCTACCACTTGCCGAGTTTGCTCCTCATATTATCCTGTATTTTTTTTTTTTCATATGACTGAATTAGTCCATCATATTGGTGTGCAGATTGTGTTATGGCCTTTGCAGACAAAGTTAAAGTCAATTCTTTATCCAATTCATCAACACACATTTATTCCCGAACCTTTTACCAAACCCATTTTCCAAAAAGAATGTTGCTTACGGGTGATTGGCTAAACACAGTGCGCTCTGTCAGACTCTGTGTGTTTGTTTCATGGCAACAATCACTGCCTCTTTTGTGTGACAGAAAAGGGCACATAAATATGGGTTGGCAGAGTGAATTTTTAACCATGTTCATACCAATTCCAATGGTTAAGATGCTTTTGAGACACTTGTGATCTAGGCCCCAGCTCAAGCGCACAGCTGTTAGTATTAAGGCGGTAGCATAGCCATATTATTTGTTAACACTTAGCTAGAGCACAGGCACATTGATCCTCACCCTAAATAACCTTAGGAAGGAAGGAAAGAGTATATGGGGGTGCAGTTTGATGGCTTTCTCAGTGTCAACAGAGTGAAGAAGTCACATGTGTAAACAGTTTCAGCAGTATATCCAGTGGCCCAGGAAAGATTAAAGGATTTCTCCAGCAAATTAAGGGACTCACTCGGAGATGTCAGCAACAGGGCTGCTTGTGCCTAGATGCTGCTTAGTGATGAGAGTATGTCAGTCTGTAAATGCATCAAGTGAGGACAGTGACCTTCTTTGCCTTCCCTGTACAGTTCAGCATAATAGATCTCACTACTAAAATATGGGTTTTGAGAAAAGAGTCGTATTGATGGTGATATTCATTCTCTGTGCTCAGAAGTAGCTATCCGGTGTGAGCGAGTTAAATATTTGGAGAGCTCAGTTGCTGATTAATGGCTGAGTAGTAATATTAGTGATAAAATATTTGCTTTGTTTTAAATAAGTTGCTTTGGTTCGTTTTTACTTGAAGGAGACACAAAGCAGGCATTATAACCTGAGAGACCTCAATTCACTGCTGATGGTTTTCCATCCACAGTGCAACACACCTGCAATGGCACAAACACAGTTCAGCATGGAATAACTATGTATTAATGCCTTATGAGTTTCCACTCACCAAGTTCTAACACTTACCTGATGACAGCCGTCTGAAGTTTCCATTTGTTAATGTAAAGTTATTCTTGCTCATAAAATGCAAATATAATTATAAAAATACTAAAATATTTAAACATTACTCGCTGGTGTCCTTCAGTGTTTTCTGCACCTGAAAAAGCCACAGAAGTTCAACTGCTGAAGAGGATGGTTTTCAGAGACCTGACAAATCCAGTAAAACTGCAATGGTATTATTGTTTCTCTCGATTTTGTCCCGCAGTTATATAAAGCAATGTTTTTCATGTTCATGAATCCCAAGATTTAATGACAATAAATATAGTTGAACATAAAAATTTAATATGCATATTTTAATGGAATTCATGGCATTAAACTATACAGCTTGTGCACGGTAAAGTCCTGAATTATGTAGCTTTGTTTACCAACCCCTTTACCCATGTTTATCTTGCCTCCTATTAATGTCAATCGTTCTCACCTGACAGCACAGTTAGGATTAATTTTGTTTGTCCAAATGTATGCTAATGAAAAAGATGTGTGGATTTAATTGTCGATAACTTGAAATACAGTCTTGCTGTCTAAATGCCAGCACAGCTCAATAACCTATTAAAGCTGAATCACTGATAAGTTGGCCGCATCAGCAAAGCAATTTGAAATGTGTGCTGGCATTGATCCACCGGGAAGAGCGACTGATGGCTCCGTTTAAGGAGAGACTGCTGCTGGTGGTTATTAAAGGAATGTGTCCCTCTGGAGAAACTTGCCTCAACTTACAGAGTCTGTACAATATTTATCGGCCATGCAACTGCCTATGTCAACCTGAAACCGCCAAAACATGGCTGTGAAACAAAGAGATGTGGAAACAGTGCTGATTGTGCATTCTTGCATGCATCGCTTGGACCCTTTAACATGATAATCACATTGCCAGAAGCACACGTAAATTCATGGATCAACGCAATCACTTTTTTCTTTCTTGAAGCTGTTTGGTTTCTGATTTTTTTGTGATTGCTTAACTATGTCCAATTCCTTTTTGAAAATAAATGTCCTCATTCAACCGTCAAAGGAACACTAAAGCTCACGAAAATGCTAAATGTAAACGTGGAATGTTAAATATATGCACCCAATAAACACGAACAAAGGGGCAATTTGGAGCAAAAACATCTCCAACGTAATTCATCCATTCAAAATTTGACTATTTTTACTCAATTTTACAGGACTGCATAGGTGTTACCAACTGTCTCTGCCCCTGCTCACAGCTTCAGTCCAACAAACAAATACAAAACATGGAAAATATTGAAGCTGGCCTTCGCATTTGAGATTACAAATAACTTTAATACCGGATCTGTTGTTGACGTTCAGAGTGAGTCAAAGTGAAAAGCACGAGGACTGAAGTCTAATTGTCTACAGCTCCAATGGAGCAAACTTGTGTAAAGCTAACAGGCAAGCATTGGAAGATGTAGTGTTGATACTCATGCCCACATTCACACTTGAATAAGCTGCTAGATAGAATTTGATTTTAATTGTTTCTTGCACACGCAGGGGACATCCGAATTCTCTAAAGAAAAAGTAACCTAAGGCACTAACAGACATGAACCGGAAATAGTTTGGCTGGTGGCCATGGCAAGGATTGCCTGAATTGCATGAAGGAAAGGAAGCAATGAACTCGTTTGTTGCTTTCTTCCAGCCCGGAAGCACTGGACTAACCTAGAAAGAAAGGACAGGTTGAATATCCTTTGCAGATGAGCTGCCGCATAGCTCACTTGGTTAAAGCGTTGCGCTACGAAGCAGAAGTGACTATCACGATGCGGGTTCGAGCCCCGGTTGTACCAACCGGCAGTGGTCGACAGCTTTTTCAGAGTAGCACACAATTGGCTACTGGGATGCAAATTCGGAAGGGTCTGCCAGGAAGGGTAATATACAAATAGTAGCTTTGTTCATTGCTTAACCGCCTCCTGGTGGCCGGACGGGCGCTCGTCAGGAAGATTCTAAGCTTGTTCATGTTCGGGTATCCTCCGCCCTCGTTCTGAACTTGCGAGGATTCAACCAATGACTGTATAAGAAGCAGTAGCTGACAGGCACGTGCTTCGGAGGAGAGCCACGAGCTGTCTTCACTTCCCTGAGTTGGCAGCACAAGATCGCATATGAGCAAGCCTTGTACATAGTTCCCCAATTGGGCATTCCAGATTTGGGTGGGATTGGAGATGCCAAATTAAAAAAAAAACAAAACAAAACAAAAATAAAATAAAAAAAGAATATCCTTTGCACATGTAGTGATCGAATTGTGATTGAATATGTCATTCACGTACCAAAGTTTTCCATGAAATTGTGAAGACTTTCTTCACCTGTCGAGCTCATGACATAATAAAGGAAAAAATATAAGATTTTTCTCAACCACGTCCAAGGGTACAGTGGCACAGCCTGAACTAAAAATTAAGTGGGCACAGAACATCCCTTTACAACAATTATTTGTCCTGACTTGATCTTGTTTCCATTTTTTACAAGAAAAATCCATTGGCAACTAAAGACGCAGCTTCCTTTTTTAAGCAATCTAAGGGCAATTTAAATAAATCGCTAAATTCAGCTCAGAAAAATTTCCTTAGAAGTAGGCCTGCACTTTATGAAAGGTCAACTGCTCAGGAACTTATACGCCACCTTAGGCGCACAATGGGCGATCTAATCTGTGCTTTGTGATCATCTAAATCGTTTAAATTAAATCAAAGACAAAGATTTGAGAACTTTACTCAATTTTGAATAAGGCTGATGGAAATGCATCAAATCACACATCAAAATGAATGATTGTTGTCTTATCTTAATGAGGAGAACTAGTAACACCTGTTGGTGTGGGGTGTTTTTGGAGAGAGTATATTGTTAATTACGAAAATGAATGATAGATTGTCAGGACTAGTACTTGTTTTAAAGGGATGTTCTGTGCCCACCCAATTTTCAGTTTTGGCTACACCAGTGCTAGGGTACCTTTAAAATCTCCCTGCAACTTTTCCTTCACCGACGTGACATTTTCTAGCAAGATCCAGGAAGAGTGGAGAGGAAAGGAAGAATGTTGTTGGTTTAAGAGAATTCGAATGGAGCCACAGACCTTTAGCTTTGCAGTGGCCCTCATCCCTGTTGCACATGCATGGCTATGGTGGGCAGAGTGCATTTTCAATTTAACTTCCAGCTGGTGTGGAAAGAAGATCAGCTCCCTTATGATTGGTGGGATGCAAATGAGGTTTCTGATGACGTATAATAAGCCCAGGGCTCCCTGAAACCCAAGAAACAAGCCAAGTAGAGAAAATTAATAGTGAATAAATTTGAAAACAAGCTACTGACCAAATTATGATGAATCAGTTAAGTATAATGGATGTTTAAGTCCATAGTAATACATCATCAATCAGTAATTTGTGAAATGATACCCTTGTCCACTGATGACAATTTGCATACTGCCATCTTACATGCCTGTTTCATTGACAGGATTAAGAGTAATCCTAAACTAAATTGAGTTTTGCCTAGAAAGTCTCTATTAAAAATGGCATTGAGCCATAGACTAGGCTTTGTCAGTGTCCACCCCAGGTCTGAACAAATTTCTGTCCAGTTTCAAATCCAGTTTCCGCTCAAGGGTTGTTTCATTTGCGCAGAACACAACAAAGTAAGATCCGCCATCCACAGAATCCAGTGCATGTTCAATGCAATGTCGGTCATGCTTCCTCAGACTGTGTTTACTGTAAACAAGTTAACAAGTTAAAAGCCCACTTTTCACCTTATTTGCTTTTTCTTCAGTGCCCTTGAAAACAGGCAAGATGAAGCGATAAACCTCTGCTTTCCTAGACTCATCAGTTTCATCGCAAATACACTGATAAGGACATCACTTGGAATATACGTAGATATTAATGAAGTGTGGCATCTTAATCATGTTTATGTCTGCCCTTGACATTCTTACTGCATATAAAGGAAGGTTAATAGTGTTGCTCTGTGCAGATCCTGGAAATCCAGGGAAGAGATAAATGTCAATGCGCTGCAATCACAAATCAGCCGTCCTCTGACCTTCACAGCCTCTCAGAGCTGCAGATAATATTTAATTAATCAGTATTGAGATGCTTTGTACATATAAAGAAAACTATTCCATTTACACTGTTATAAATTGACTGAATTTAACAGTTAAATTAACACATTTTCTCCTTGTTATTACCTCCGCCAACAAAGTTGTCTGTTTGTCTGTTGGTTGGTTTGTTGGTTTGTTTGTGAGCAGGATTACGCAAAAAGTTATGGATGGATTTTCATCAAATTTGGTGGAATGATTAAGTATTGTTCAAGAAAGAGGTGATTTGATTTTGGGAGGTCAAGGTCAAAGGTCAAGGTCAAGGGCATGCAAAAGGTCAAAAACACATTAATAACATATTTGCGCAAAGACTACAGGACTGCATAAACACGGGTTGCTAGCTAATACTGGCAAAAATAACATTGAGTACATTGGCGGAGGTACTTGCGCTCTCTGAGCGCAGGTCTACTTTTAACTGTAAGCAGAGTCCTGCGCACATTTAACTGTGGTTTACAGTTAACACACACGGAACCTCTGTGACAAACTAATTGTAAAATTAGTTAAAATAACTGGCAAAATAGGTTCCAGTTTATAACAAGTAGTAGAACTTCAAATGCTTGTTTTGTAAAACCTAGTATTGTAATTAGGCTGGGCCTAACTTGGAAAAACTTTGATGATAAAACACAAAATACAGCGTTGAATCCTCTTATCAGATAAGCTGACCACAGCTTTGGGCAGAAGCTACACGGATCATCTTGGCATGAGCAGAGAAGCGTTCTTTCCTTCTGCTTGACAAATCTGCCTCTATAAGAGCAACCTGCCAAGGTGAAACCATTCCTTACAGTACAAGGGAATTGGGAAAATGATACTGGTTGGTTTATTGCAAGTTCTGGACAAAACTATGGAAGATTTTTGGTCATTATTAAAATTAAAAATCCAAAAAGAAAGTAAGAAAGATCAGAATTATTATTTTATAACATGGCTAGGAATGATCAGGCAATATTTAAAAATGAAATGAAAAGGCAAATTTAAAATGTAAATTGGAAGAGGCAATGAAAAAGTGAAATACTAAAGGTTAAATGGAAATGCTCAAACTGAAAGGCTACATTGTACAAAAGTACATGAATTTGAAAATGGCAATGAAAATAGGGAAAGGGGAAACCTTAAATTTGAAACTCAAAATGGGAAATGGAAAAGCCCAAATGAAAATATTTAAATTTGAAACTTAAATGTAATTTATTTATTGATTTATTGATTGATTAATAAATATTTTTTAATGGCATTTGTTCTTTGCCATTTGGCTGTAAGGCCACGCCTCCAGCTGTCCAGCTCACCGGTCTACTAAATCCCGGAGTGCACTTCTGTCATTATTCAATTATCATCTTCACCTGTTCCCTGACGTCTGAGTGGTAGCAGAGCATATTTAAGGCTGAACTTATCTCAGCCTCTTTGTGAAGTCTGTGTAACCTCATGCCTGTTTGACATAGTAGTCTGTAAAGGCTTGTTCTCCGTATTTCACGTAATGGTACTAAACTTTAAACTCTGAGCCAAGTGATGTTATCATTAAACGCATCACTTTTATTTCTTTTTAAAGGAACATTTTTTCCTTTTTGTTTTGTGTAATACATAGTACTGCTGTGCTTTCCAGTTCTAGTATTACCTATTGTAAACATCTTGTTAGGAACCTCAGTTCCTTTTTCTAGTTTTGTCTTTTGTTTTGTCCGCAAACGTCTGAAGGAATTTAAGTATCTTTTTGAAATGATGTTTGAAACTATAAACTGTGCCTGTGCATTACAGTTCGGCATAATAAACCAACCAAATCCACCTCTGCACTTGAGTCCAGTCCTCCACTTCCTGTCCTCTGTGCAACTGCACTCTGCACTCCGGCCGAAACGTTGCGTTTGCATTTTAGAATTGCATCTTTTGTCAAAAATTGGTTTGCATTTAAGCAAATACTGTAATTGTAAGTATGAAAGAACAGGGATTAATTTTTTTTTTGACAAATGGATGGAATTCTCTGATACAAACATAATAACTCACATAAATACAACGGCCTAGTCTTTTGTTCTCTCCCAGTTACTGCAATCTTGCTAACCTTAGGAACCTAATTACAGACTGGATTGATTATGTCCTTTGGGTGCTGCCTGAGTTCTTGCTATGTGCGGGGATTCTACCAAGATGGGGCACAAACAAGGCAGACACAGCAGGAAAGTAAATGGGCTGGAATTCCTGAGCATTAGTGTGGGAGTCTGCTGGTTCAGACAGCATCTCGAGGTCTGGGTACGACCGTAAGAATATCGTCATCCAGCTCTGAAACAGTGCATGAATAAAAGCGCAAGATTTGCGTGCTTGGCAACACTACCGGTCATAGAGAGCTGCTTGAATTGTTGCAGCTTCTCGCCCTGCAGCCCCACGCTGTGACCTGTCCCACCGGTGCTGTCCTTGGTGCTGAGCTGAACCGCGGTTCATCGGTAGGTGAAGTGGCTCCAGCCAGAAAGTTTAGGATTTTTCGTATTTATTCAAATAATTGCCATCCTTACAATATGTCATCCATTATTATTATATTTACCTAATAGGCAATCATTTTTCATTATCATGTCTTAATTATTGTGGGTTTCATATTGGTTTACATTATTCGGCTAATAAATTGTTTTATTGTTAATTAGGGAAAAAAAAAATCACGAGTAATCAAGGGTAGATGGTGAGCTTACAACAGGCTTTCATACATTCAACAGCAAGCCACTGTATATACTAATAATGGCCTGAAGTTGGACCGCACTGAACCAGGTAACTACAG